AACTACATTTCCATTTATGGACTGTTGAAATCAGATATTTACAAACACTATATAAAAAGAGGCAATATATTGTTTATGCCCTGTGACCTGTTCTTGGGCTGTGCGGTTTAGCCATAAATCAAAATTAATAAAAAAAAAAGTTCCTTTTTTTCTCTCTTCAGGCATTCATATATTTGGTTCCTGGTTTTCATAATTTTAATTGCCTTCAGTGCTGTTGTTTCCAGAATCCATTGATTGTGAATTTTACTGCTGCCTGGAAGGGTGCTTTCTTGGTTGTGCACGAAAGCTGTGATGACCTGAACACAACAAATCCAATTTTGCTACCGGTCCGACAGAAAATCGTGTCGGATGAGGGCATGGCGTCTAGCCCCCTTTAAAAGTGAATGGGGATGATCACACAATACGATTTTATACAAGGAGGCTGCTTGAGTCCGACTGATATAAACCCATTGGGAAAAAGTCAGTTTTGGAGCTGTGCATAGTGAATACAGGGACGTGCAAAAACAAAGAATGAAACATAAAAAAAGAATACCCATTACCCATCATAGGAATTCAGGAGGACAGAAAACAGATAAAGTAGTGATCCTCTTTGAGCCATGCAAAAAACAAAATAACGAGGGACAGCAAGTGCAGGAAAGCGAAGTTCATCATTCTCACCTCTTAATGAACAACAAACTTTACAGATCTCTCTCTGAGAATCACCTCTCAGTGCCTTAGTCAGCATATACACCACCCCACAGCATTCATTGTTTCGTTTTATTCATTTATTTTGATTTATTTATTTATTATTTTATTATAGGCGTATGACCATTCTCAATCTGCTCTGGTTTGAGATGCTACACGGACTTGTTAAATTGGGCTTTGCTTTATAACTGCGCTGGTGTTTTTTCTTGTCTTTCTTTATTTTTTATAATCTTTCATAATTTGTTATGTTTGTCTTTAACTTAAAAAACAACAACAATTAGATCAACAGAAAAAAAACATCGGGCTGACCTTCTTTCAGTTCAGTACTTTTATAGGTTTAATGTCAAGAGAAGGGCTGCTAACAATTGATAAACACTTAACAGTACCAAGATGGAAACTATTCTTATCTGCACCCTCCGAAATCTTCTGTTGTTATGTGGAAAGAAAAAGAAAATCATATATATCAATTTTACATGAAAAATTTTTTTATTTTGATATTCTGTGCAAAGTAGGACTGATGTAAAAATTTGTTGCTGAATGCAGCAACAAATGCAGCAATCCATATTTGCAATTATTTGGCCAAGCATCACTTAATCAATATCACACATAAAACATTCTAAAGGTTTTGTTTTTAGGATACTTTTTTTAACTAATGTGAATGGAAAATGTATGTTCCCCTGCCATATCACATCTTATGGTGCCTCTAGGATTATGTGTACTAGCTGTCCTTTCAGTCTCTCCCCCCCACCCTTGTATTTTCCCTACTGAGCTGCCATTTGCCGAGTGATGATGGTAGACCTGCCACTGTTTGCTCTATTTAAATCTTGTGAAAGGCAGGGGGGAGATTACTAGCCTCTTAGCTTTTGGTCTAATCAAAGGTACTATTTCAGCACTGCTGGATGTTACCTGCAATAAACCCATCTAAAAATACACAACCCAGTAGAAAGTGGATCAGATAGCTGAATACTTTGAATTTTTCATGCCCATGATTAGTTGCTGAAGCACATCAGTATTGGAACTTATTAGAAGTTTCCATTCACTGCATTTATAAGAGCCTGATGGACGCAGTTCATTCTATTTTGGGGGTCGGGTTGATGACATAACATTAGAGTTTTTGAAAACAAGAACTGGGTGCACAAGCTTGAAAGGGGTCTGTCAAAATGCTCACGTAAATTTCTCGGGCTGCCTTATTGTGCAGCAGAAGCTAATTTCATCCCTTCATTAACAGAGCCTTGTCTCGTACTTTCCTTTAAAACAAATCCCACCAAAAACAACATTTTTGTATGTTAAAATAAAATAATATATCCCAAGTGTTCATAGTGATACTTTATCTTCTCCTTTTTAGTGTCCTAAGTGTTTTTTTTTGCACTCTGCCATGTGATCTATGTGGTCCTAGCTTTTCCTCTTTCTTTTTACAACTCCACTGGAGAAATTGTGACTTGCTTGGCTGCATTACTCCTGCATTGTGCATATATAGTACTGCTAGATAGGTTATGTTATAATAATTATAAGAAACACATGTTTACTAAGATCCATCCATCCATCTTCTTCCGCTTATCGGGGGTCGGGTCGCTGGGGTAGCAGCTTCAGTAGGGAGGTCCAGACGTCTCTCTCCCCAACCACTTGGGCCAGCTCCTCAAAGGGAATCACTCCCAGGCCAGCCGAGAAATATCGTCCCTGCAGCTTGTCCTGGAACTCCCCCTGGGCCTCCTTCCAGTGGGATGTGCCTGGAACACCTCGCCCAGGAGGCATCCTAATCAGATGCCCGAGCCACCTCAACTGGCTCCTCTCGATGTGGAGGATCAGCGGCTCTACTCTGAGTCCTCCCCGGATGACTGAGCTCCTCACCCTATCTCTAAGGGAGAGCCCAGACACACTACAGAGAAAACTAACTTCAGCCGCTTGTATCCGGGATCTCGTTCTTTTGGTCATGACCTAAGCTCATGACCATAGATGAGACCATAGAACAGATCCCCTCAACACCTTGGTTACGCCTAGAAATTCTGTCCATAAAAGTTATGAACAGAATCGGTGACAAAGGGCAACCTTGGTGAGGTCCAACCCTCACCGGAAACAGGTCCGACTTACTGCCGACATTTGTTTACTAACAATTAGAGTAAAAACAATGTCTGAAACATAGAATAGAATAAAGCAAAATAAAACAAGCCAAAAACACCTTAACTTAATCTAATTTAAAAACTCTCTCTAAGCATCTCTATGCCAATTTTTATCAGCTGTGCATCAACATGAGATGCCTAAAACATTCTAAACAGCTTTAAGGAGCACGATTACTGTTCTAGACCACAGTAGGTCATAATTTTGTACACAGGCTAAGGTGTGTTTGGAATCATTGTGCTGTTTGAGCATTTGCCCTTTTTCTTGTTTCAACTATATCTATATTTATAATGAGGTTCGTCCTATTGTTATATGGCATCTAAATCAAAATACCAGTAATACTGGTAGGCCCTACATAGCTTAAAAGTTTTTTATTACTTCAGTCCCTGCATGTAACCTTCTCGTTGTCGTCGTCAAACACCTTTTTTCTTCTATCTATAAAAAAAATGTTCTACAGAAGCCCTCTGGCTCGTCCATCTGGATGGCTGCAAATTTGTGTGTCTTGGTTCCTGGTCTGTTCCCATCCAGTTGACTTGAAAATATATTGTCTATGGTTGTAGTTGAGTTTTTGCCTGAAAAACCAATACTGTTTTATTTTCTTTTTTTTTGTGATGAGATGTTTTTTGATTTCTCAAACTGTATCCTGTCAAAGATAAAGTGTGAAATCTGTTTTTTTTTTACCCTCTCCCTCCCCAATGTGACTCAGAGATAAAGGCGGCGCTATAAGGGAACTGCTTTACAGTGGGGCCCTTGGCAGCCGTAAGAACGCGCCAATGGCAGCGTTCTGCGACATGCGTGGCCTCAGTAAATCTCCCTATCAGGAGTTCGTTGTTATGGCTGTTAGCACTTCCATTCGCTCCTTTGTTTTCTTCCTCATACAAAACAGTGATGGGCAATAAAACTAGATGATGAACAAGTAGTGATGCTAAGATTAAGCATGTAATTAACTTAAACTCTACAATTTCTTTTGTTTTGTTTTTGTTTGTTAATGTCCGGTACCTGCACAGTACGGTCAGATTTATACAGATAAAAAAGGAAAACATTGTGGTTAAAAATAAATCCTTAAATGCTGTGTGACAGCTCCAAAATGTTATTTTAACACAAATGGGTTCCCTGGTATGCTTTATGGTAGTGCCCATTAAATGATGCTCCTGTACACCTATAGTTGGATATTTTATCTCATTTGCTCTTTTATTGGTTTTACTGTTTTTTTATGGCTACCTTATTTTCAGAATGCATGACGCTGAACATGAACACATATAAAATACCCAAAGGACAGCCTAATTAACAATGTTGTTGTAATTAATGATGGTATTCACATAAAAATAGCTTTTTTTAATATTATGACTAAGTTATTCTCTCAAATAAGTCCATGAATTACTTTAATGTACTGAGCAATGCTGTGTGTGATGAACAGTGAGCCCTTCTGTTACTCACCTTCATTTAAAGAAAAACGGAAGAAAAAACTGTCTAATGTAGAACTTTGAAAATGCTCAGATTCCTGCAGCGTCTATGCTTATCTGGCAACGTTTATCTTGCAAAGCGACTGTGTAATGAAACCTTTACTGGTCAGTTCCTGTCCTGCTCTTTGTTCACCAAAACAGGGCATTGAAGATGAGTTCATGAGAGCAGAATCCAGATCTCTGAAAGTTAGTGAATATCTTAAGAAACTTCTCCAGTCCTTGTGGCAGTTTTAAGGTTATAAAATATCCCCTTAGCAGAAGGATTTTTTCCTTTTTATATTTGTACTTTCCCCACTTTTTGGTTAATCACACTGTGATCGGCCTGTCCCTTTGATCCCCATGTTGGCTTACCTGTTAGGCTCTTAGCAGACTACAATGTACCTGTCGCTCTAATGTAACAGCAAGGTTTATGTAAATCTCCAGCTCATTTCCAGCTTTCAGTTTGATGAAGACTTCCTTTCTTAAAAAAGGCAGATTCCTATTAAAGGTTTATTTAGGAGAAGCCAGTAGAATAATTAAAAATCTGCTCTGGCCAAATAGGATGAAGAGAATCACTTAAAGCCAGTGATTACTTTGCTGTGTGTGTGTGTGTGTGAGTCTTCCCTGAGGCCATCACGACTGTTTGTAATGCTGTTGAAAGTGTACAAAATGAAGCTTAACAAAGAAGTTGGCTCATCAGATGCTTGTAATTCACCTTACCAAATGTCTTTTTTTTTTTTTTTTTTTTTTTTTCTTTAGAGTGGACCGGTGCTCTCTTCCAGTGTTTCCCCTCCCCTCAGTGTTCTGACCCACTGTCTGTCACCCGGTAAGTACTCTCAGATCCACCTCCTGCTATCATCACAGATGCTCTCTCGGTCTTTTACGTAATCATCGGTTCACTGCCTGGCTTGCACTGCAAATTGCTCTCACCTTTACAAAATGGAGCACAATTTCTTGTTAATGTTCACAAAAGGGCATGATGTAAAGTGGTCATTATGGCAAACAACAGTGGAAAAGGTGTATGTTGGTCTCTGTGATTGGTAGAGAAAGGAGATTAAATATACTTTCCTCAGTGTATTGGAATAAAATGGATTTATTGTGTTTAAGAAAAAAAAAACAGGTTTCTTTTCTGATGGAATATACAGCCTCCTACTTGGATGTATGGAAAAAAAAATTTATCCTTATTAATTATATAATTTGTTCTTGGTACAGTAGTCTGTATCTGTTGCTGTTTTTTGAGGTTCCTTATCTAAACTGTATCCAATAAAATATTAAGTTAAACAACTATTGTCTAAAAATACCTGAGGATACTGAAAAAATGAAGACAGATGGAGCAGGGGGTTTTGGTTAAAAGTTTCTTTCAAATCATGGATTAATGTTAAAACAAATGTAGATATTTCTTAAGCCCTTTCCATCAATGTTCTTTGCACGTACCAGACAAAACACAAGCCAGCTTTAATATTTAATTCCCGCTATCTGTTATTGCCAATTACTGGGCTTGTTTACTAGAACCCTGAGAGTTGGCAGATCTCTTTTAAAAGGTGGGTGTGTGAGTTTGTTTGTGTGTCTGTGTGCGTCTGTCTTTGGTCTAGGCTTTTTAATGGCAGAATACTGGAGTCAGTTTTTTAGCAGATGCATGTTCTCTGGTAATACCTCAGGGAGAGCGGTGGGACTGGTGGGTCCCTGCGGGTCTTTGCTAGTCCCTTCATAGCTATAAATACACACTGGGATCCCATTCAGAGGATTAATGTGAGTGTGCGTCTTTGTGACGCCGCTGCACTCGGCCGAGCTGGAGGCTATTACTGTCCTGCAGGGTTGCTATGGAGACCAGGGGCATCAGAGAAGAGCGCAACATCTGTGGGGTGTTTTGTTTGTCAAGAAAGGTTTTCCTCCTCTTGCTTTTCCCTTTTTTCTCTCTATGTTTGATCAGTTCTTAAAAACTCACTTCTTCTGACAGGAGAAGAATAATTCTGTTTTTTAAGGGTTCATAAAACTCCCATGACTGTGTGCCACTGGTCTTCAAATCAGTTGTAAACACGGCACTTGATCATGGAATAGTGTACATTTCTGGGCAAATTTTCAGCTGCCTGTGCTCAGTCATGCTCACAGAAGACCCTCAGGGTGTTAGCCTGCTGGGACTGGGGTGGGGGGGCTCTCTTTACTGGGTTCATGGTAGAGCAAAACTCACATTCTGGGGAAGCATTTAACCCCTGGCCCGTCTTTTTCCCTCTCTCCTTGGCTTCCCTCTCTATATGGACATGTTCTATTTCCATAGCTTCTTTCTGCTGGCTGCCTTATCCACAGCTCAGCGGGGCACAGGTTTTCTGTTGATAGGTACTTATTTGGGCAGTGGGAAAACTCCCTTAATTTTCAGCAGCCTCCAGTCTTTCCTTCTGTCCTCCTCCTGTCTGGTTCAAACCTCAAGCTTCTTTTTTTTGCTTCTGGAGTCCCCTTTTTTTACTACCCCTAAGATTTTCTTAATACTTGCAGAAATATGCACATATTTAACTTTAACCAAAAAAATATCTCCTTCCCCTAATATTTGTGGATAGATTTCTGAACCATCTGTACTGAGCTCTTTGGTTACCCAGCACACTTGTGTGTTTATATATCTCAAGTATTTTATCCATATTTGGGTACACCTGACTTCGATCAGCCTTCTGCTGGGGATGTTTAGCATGGTCAAATGAACCTCTGACCTCCTAATCCGGTCTAAATTAGAATGTCACAGCACAGTGGTGCACGTAGCAGTGCACCTCTGACCCCATGATGTAACAAAGTCATTTTGGAATCATTTGTTAATTTTGCTCAGCATCCTTTCACAAAGGCCAGTTAATTAACTTCATCTAGGAATTAACTCACTGTTCACAGGATATTCTGCATGAAACCATAATGATCTCAAGCTACATTAGTTATTCTGGAATGAGAATAATTCTTGGTGCTTGTGTGTCTATCCAAAACACACAGCTAAAAACAGCCAGGAATGGCTAAGATGAAAACATTGGACTCTGAAGTGGCCTACTATGAGCCCTGACCTAAATCCTGTTGTGCATCTTTAGAAGGGGCCGAGACATGCCGAAAAGGCAGCCATATAACCTGAGACAACTGGAGCAGTTTGCTCATGAGGAGTAAGACCAAATATCTGCTGAGAGGAGCAGAGGGCTCATTGACAGTTACAGGAATCTTTGGATTGCAATTATTGCCTTAACAACATATTAAGGAAAGAGCATGGTCATTTTTGTCCAGGCATGTTTGATAGAGTTCATTTTAAAAATAATTCTGGTAAAGCATTGTTGGAAATCATGACTGACTCCCATTTCTTCATTTTTATAGATTATTGTTATTTCTTATTACTTAAATCAGATTCAGGTTCTTTCTGTGACCATTGTTGGTTTTTCATTCATTAAATAAGGGGCACCAACAGTGTTTTCCACCAATGTAGTCATATTTTCGCCTAGAAATCCTAAAAAATAAATAAAAGAAAATTGAGTTTTAAGCAAATATCAGTGGGTTTTGGTGGTGGGTTTGGAGGGGATGAAGTGCTATTTAAGTTGCATGCAACAGGTTGTGAAAATGGGGTCTTGTTAATCATGATGCTTGGACCTTGTTTGAGGTGTTCCTCAGGGGTCAGTATTCTCACCAGAACTATTCATTCTCTAAATGACGTATGTACATTTACATGTATTTCTAAAAGTATTACACATTTTTTTGCAGATAATGTAAATATTTTGTAGAAATGTAAGAGCTTATTAAGAGTTATTGGATGATTTCACTGATGTTAAATTAGTAATTTTACTAGATTGTCTGAAATGAAAACATTCTTTGAATTATTTAAATTGGAATGTGGGTTATATTTTTTGTCAGGGCTGATAAATAATGTTCAAATGTATTTTTCTGTAACCAAAACAACTTTTTTGTTGTTAGAGCAAAGTGTTTTTTCCCCCCAAAGATGTTTTATGATGTTAATGTTGGTGAGTGATTAGAATTCAAGAGGACAAGAAGCCGGATTTATCCTCGCCGACTAAAAACATTTTTTCTGTTGAAATCTTTTTGTCCAAGCGTCATTTAGCAATTGGAATCTTTGATTTAAGGGAAAGAAAAATATTAGGCGGAAGGACAAGAATAAGAAACAATACATGCCACAGCTTGAGCAAGGAGTCAGCAGCCAGACCAGCTTGGCAACCTTAGCTGTTGTTTGTGAATGTTCTTTGCTTTGCCAGTTAAAGTGAAAAGGATTTAAAACATATAATTTCTTGCAATGTCTGAGTATTTTATTTAATGTAAATCCAAGTTCTCTTCAAAATGAAAGCAATGCAAGAATCTTTAATGGTGAACGCATTAACGGTGTTGAAGCTTTAGTAGTGTGTTGGAAGTGGGGGATACAAGACAAGCTGTAGTATTTCCCTGCTGTCCCACTCCTAATAATCTGGCAGTTAAATCCACCAGCAGGGATTTAGAAATCCCACTTGAAGCTAAATATATGTTCCCAACTCTAATTAAGTCCCAATAGATAAGTGATTATGTAAATAATTAGTGGTTAGAGAGAACTTTTACTATGCTTGGCATAAAGTTAACAACAAATGAAATAAAAACAAATTTTCTGTTTAATTTTTGTGTTGTGTTCAATTACTATTATAACATAAAGATTATTTTCATTGAATCAAAAATTTTATGATGTGATCCAGTAAAGCTATTTTTAACTTAAACAGGTCTTGTCAGTTATATTTGTTTAATTCCACATGCTTATTATCACACATAAAGCTAAATAAATTTTCTATGTGCTAATTTAAACAAAAACTTCACTTTCAATGTGTGTTTTTTATAATGTCCGCTTTACACTTTCCTAACCACTCACTGTTCCTCTCATCTAACACCAATATCACCTACAAAGGTTACTATAGTTTATAATGAGGTATTTCACATGGGTTGGAAATCTAGATACGGAGGATCTTTGTAACCTGACTCCGTCAGATGGATTTGCTCCGCATATCCATCTGGAAACCTTCCGTTAAAGTAATTTTGGGAGGGGGCGAAAATACTGGTTAGCCGATTGGCCTATGTTGGTGATAGACGGGCCAAATAAACCAATCAGATCAACGAAGCATATGACGTACTAACAGACCGATGACGAAAACACAACCACAAGCCAGGCTACTCTTGCCGAAACCAGGCGGGAGAAGAGCAAAAACATATTTTCCTCTGAGAAAAGCCTCCAGTGTCATGAAACGGGGACAGATGGACCCAGTATTCAGGAGAGACAGTCAGTAGGAAAGTTCAAACGTTTATTAAATAAAACAAAACTAAAGTGGAGCTGTGGCTTGCAGACACTGCAGGCGGGGGGGGGCGGGGCACCGCCCAATCTCAGACACTCTAGGGGAGAAAACACAGGTAAGTGACCACGATAAACTGATATTTGATTATCTGGGTTGGTCACTTACCTGGTTAACAGTCCAGACCATGAGTGTCCCCAGTGCTGCAGTCCCAGAGGTCATGCTGGAAGCTGATCCTGGTGAGGGATCCAGAACAGACAGGAACAGACAGAAACAGGCAGTATTTTGTTCTTCTTTCAGTGAAGAAATACTCTGTAATTCCGATAAAACTTGCTCGATAGCCACGCTAACGCTAGTTTCATCGGCTGAAGCCGCCATGTTCTTTAGACTGAACTGTCGCGCTTCTCGTTGCGTCACACCTCAACCTGAGCCAACGCTGAATGGACGTTCGTTTGGTGAACGGCTCCAAATTTTCTTTGACGGAGAGTCTCCAGACTGATCTGCAAGTGAAACCTTGAAAGCTCGCGAGATCAGAATGGTCTCACGAGGCTAGATG